GAAATGCAATGCAACGCTCCCCTTACTGCAAACTCTCATGTTTTTATGTAGTAGGTAAATGTATCTATGTCTCTCCCCAACGACAAATATAACAATTGAAACACTTAATCACAATTCAAATGCTAGTTTGCGACGTGATATTTATGCCAATCAAAACACCAACCGAAACACCAACACCACTAAACATCAAAACTCAAACAGATGGATGTGACATGAAATGCAATGCAACGCTCCCCTACTGCAAACTCTCATGTTTTTATGCAGTAGGTAAATGTATATATGTCTCTCCCCCAACGACCCCTAAACATAGCAATGCAATGCAAGTAATGTCAATAAATGAAATCATGTGCACATTGCAAATGCAGTAGCTCTTCCCCTATGTGTATGCTCTTGTACATGTTCTTCTTTTTTCTCTCCCTTCTCTCCCTTAGTTATACTTTTCTCTCCCCCTTTTTGTCAAAAATGCTGAAGGAAATCATATTAAAAACAAGTTAAGCAAATAACACATAATAACTCAAAAATGCAGTTGATACATGCAAAAGTAAAATTAACAAATACCAGACCTCCTCACATACTCAGTTTAGACCAAAATGGACTAAAAAGTACAAGTGACTCATGTGTGCAAAGTGTCACTACTCCAATGCAAGCAGGACTCCAAACCTTAATTTTGTGAGAAAGAACATGACAATCACTGCTAAGTATGTTCTCCTACTAATGAGAGTCAAACCATGTAACACGTAGTAGGACCTATACTTATTATTTTTACTTATCTCCTCCTTACTATGAGCTTATTTGTTTTTTAATTTTTCAAAGTATTTCGGCTCATCATATTTTTCATATTTTTCTCATTTCTCCAACTCGTTAATTTTTTATCTTAAGTGCAGCTTCTTCTCCATTAGGCAACTAAGATGACCCCTGTAGCAAGCTTTAGGTTGGTTAACCCAAGTCAGTTGACCATAGGCACCAAGTTTTAAGAGATCCTGCAGGCTTAATTGCTCAAGCCAAATAGGCCCCGAAGAAGAACATTAAGATATGAGCATTTAAAAATGGGGAAAATTTTTAGGTTAAAGTCTATGAAAAATGGTCAATTCATGTTCAAAGTCACCCCCATTAACATGTGACAGCCATCCCAAATCTCACACACGCGGTAGCGTCCCACTAACAAATTCATAGTATGTGCAGTGCAGATGGTACATGATGACACTTATACATATTAATCCAACTAGACCTAACCAAGCAATGGAAATTATTCTATAACTTATCAATTTTAGCTCCTACATGATATAACGTTCAAGCTCTAAGTTATGTGTCATGCTGTAGAAATTTCCATAACCAATTATTTTTGTCTTTTTTAATTTTTCAATGTTTTTATGTTTTTTCGTAAAATGAATACTCCACACACAAAATAAAATAAAGTCAAGCACACAAAGACAAAAATAAACATGCATGCGCCAAAACTCGTAGGTGAAAATGCACATACATGAAAAATAACAATACAAAAACAAACAATATACATGTGATGCATGCAATAGCTATATGTCAATTAAGAGCCAAGCATGCATCAAAAATACCTAATTAAGTAGGTATATAAGTGCTCTTTCCTTTAAGAGCACCATGATCTATAACCAAATTTGGGAGGTCGTTTTTCTTCATCCAAACCTGTCTAGAGCGAGAATTGTTTCCAGACAGCCGTGTCACCAATTGAGTCAAACGATTCACTTGATCAGTAAGGAATCCAATCTGATCAACAGACACCTGATTTTTGTTCTTTTTCAAGCTTAAATCTTTCCTACTGTTCAGGTAGTGATGATACTTAGGGAGGACGTGACCTAACTCTCCACAGTGAAAACATGTAGGGATAAACCTAAGACCTGTGATATGCTTATGTTGATTTCTATTCCTAGGCCGACGAGTCCTACGACATCTGGTAGACCTATGTCCTGAAGTTTCCACAACATTTGGTATAGGGTTAGTCACAATGTTTGGCTGGTCAGTAGCACGAACAAAGGTGGTCTGTGATGTACTAGCAACATTCAGATCAAAACCTAGACCTCACTTATCACCAGCCGGCTTGTCTATTTCTAGAATATTATCTAGCCTTTCAGAACTGCTAGAAAAGGTAAGTAACTGAGACCTAGACAACTCTAGCTCACTTTCAAGGTGTTTAACCTGAATAGCTAAGGTCTCATTCACAATGGTCAGCTCACTTACTCTCCTAGAGAACATCTCATTCTCACTAGTGAGATCACTGACACGGGCCTCTAACTGTTCCTTTTCTATCTTAAGCTTTTTCACTTTCTTGCTCATTGCTTGGTTAGTGGCTAAGATCTTGAGGCTTTTCTCATACATCCTATCATAGGCTGTTTGTAGATCTTCCACACTTCTACTCCCATCACCAGAATCTTCACTCCTCTGTCCTTTCACTCCTCTGATCGGATCCACTTTTACCCCTAACAATGAAGGCCACATATTTTCCACTCTCCTCACGAGTGGATTTCTCACTCTGATTTTCCAAGCTAGACTCGTCATTAATGAAAGTAGTATTCATAGTCTTCTCTTCAAATCTCTTAGCACTGGGGCACTCATGCCTCACATGATCGAAACCACGACAGTTATGGCATCTCACGAATTTAGATTTCTTCCTAGATTCACCCGGGCCACCTCTTTGTCTCTCTAGAGGCTTCTTCTTATTCCTAAACATTTTTTGAAATTTTTTAGTTAGGTAGGTCATCTCCTCATCATTGGGTGAATTAGAATCAGAAGATTCCATCCGGATATTCCCAGCGATTTTTAAGGCTATGGATTTTTCCTTAGCTGGATTGTCTAAGGTCAATTCATAGGCCTGGAGGGATCCAACTAACTCCTCTACCTTGATAGTGTCTATGTCCTTACTTTCCTCAATTGTCGTGACTTTAGGCCTAAAACGCTTAGGTAAGGATCTAAGAATCTTTCTCACTATCTTAGGTTCAGGGATTTTCTCACCTAGGTTGAAGGATAAATTTACAATGTCATTTAAGCTCGCATAAAAGACATCAAACATCTCATCATCTCTCATTCTTATCTCTTCAAACCTAGTGGCCAATATCTACAGCTTGGAACTCTTAACTGTCTGAGTTCCCTCATGTGTGGTTTCTAAAATATCACAAACTTCCTTTGCTACCTCACACATGGACACTCTCCTAAACTCTTCGGGGGAAACTGCCATAAATAGGGCATGAAGTGCTTTGCTATTTAAGTTATAGTTATCCAATTGAGCTCTAGACCAATTCTCGACAGGGGTGGGAGTGACTACACCATCTATTGTGGTACTAGGGGCTGACCAACCATTTACCACATTCTACCAAACACGCTCATCTAAGGATTTCAAAAACACCCTCACTCTCACCCTCCAATACGCATAATTACTACCATCAAAGTGGCACGGTACATTCAACAAGGTACTCATCTAGACTATTTAAGGTCAAGACACGATTTCAGGCTCTGATACCTCTTGAAAAAAAATTTGACCTAGAGGCTAGAACGCTTAGATATGCTAGAAAGTTCGACTAACGTGATCCAGTATCAAGTTCAAATTTTATGCGTTACCAAGTTTACATTCTAGATTTCACTTTAACCAATTTGACCTTACGTGCAGGATTAATCTAATTAAAGCAACAAGCCACTTTAATTAGTTGTTTAGGTGATTAATCATACAAGTCAATTAACCTATGTTGGAATGCCACAATTTATATATTATGCAAAGCAATAAATAACAAACAATATGATGACGGAGAAAGCCTAACGTGGATAAAACTCCGGGATCAAGTCAGTTACCTCCACTATACCAATTCAGCAAGTACAAGTTATACCAAACTCCGTACCCAATCAGACCCGTTATTCCAGTCTCACGATCTACTGATGTAGATACTTTTATCCTCTTGCTAGACTTCTTGATCTACTTCCTACAGCCAAATTTGCTGTCCACTACAACCTCCTAGTCCTTAGCTGATTGTATCACCATGTGGAATACCAAGAATCGTCCGTTCTTGTGCTTGTAACTGCGCCTCAATCCACATCTCTCAATCCTCCAATGAGAAAGTCCCTTCCTCAATAAATTAAGGAAGTAAGGTGTTTTGGGTTATGTAGATTCAATGTTTTTACCCAAAACAATGGTTACCGGATCACAAGATTGATGTAGATGAAATCTCCAATTAATTGCACCGTGGATCTCTTCAAAGACGTTATGAATATCTTTTGCAATGAAAGAATAATGTAGCAACCTCTTCAATTTCATCCTAGGGCTTGAATATTTATATTTGAAGGTGTCTAGGTGGTATGGGCCGAGTAAAACACCTCAAAAATGCAAAATAGAATTTTTTCCGCATAGGAGTGTTGCTCGAGCGAGAGCCAGCAAGAATCGAGCGAGAGGTATTCTGTTTTTTTCGCTCGAGCGAAATACCAGTGAGAAGCGAGCGATAGTAAGCAGTTGAAAGTTTTTCCATCATAACTTTCTCTTTCAATGTACGATTGAGGTGATTCAAGTTGTGTTGGAAAGATAACTCAAAGGACTACAATTATTCTAGAGATAGCCTTATCCAAATTCCAACGTTTTCTATGTGAAAAATGCATTGTAAGTTATGATTAGAAATCTGGAACATAATTCGTGCAGCTCTTTGATTTCCTTTAGACTTCCAATTGCATTCCGATGATCTTGTGTGATCTTCTTAGACATCTTGGACTCCTTCAATGACTCGAACACTAATTTACCTCATCTATACAAATTTTACCCTAAGTCTCTGACTTTTACACCAGTGTTCAATTAAGTCCCTGACTTTTACAATTATATAATTTAGCTCGTTTTGTCCATAGAATCGCCAATTACACTTTTAGACCTAACAGAGATTAATGTAGGGCAATTTTGGATATGAAATTTGAGGTATATCAATGATTCGAGAAAGGACATCGAGTGTAATTCTCAAAACTCGACTCCTAAGAAAGACTCTAAATGCCAAATGTTCAATGTCCTGGATATTATCATAAAACTTTTGGATTAGAAGCTTAGATGGTGGAGTCAAATTACATGGTACAAGCTCTCAGCTATGAAAAGTAAAAATAACTGACATCTCATATGGAAGTTTGGAAAGATTTACCTCTCCTCAAAAGTACATGACATATATACGTGTCCAGATGCCTAAGTGAGCTAAGTCTATGAGAAAGAAGTCCAGGAGTTTGAGCTCATTTTATAGGTCAATGTTTATTTATTTTGTTGCCCAGGAAGTTTTTGATTCTCAATTTAATGATCTAATGATGCACATGAATGGACAATAATTATTAAAATGCACATGAATTTTGTAAATTGATGACGATGCATGTGAATTTCGTATATTGATTTCACAACATGCTATTTTTTGAAATGAACGCTTGAGCGAATCGTGCTCAAGTCCATTCGAGTCTCCACCAAGAAACCTAATAGAAATTGTTCAATACTGAAGCAAATAACCACACGAACTCAACAATCATCTCAATCCATTCCTATTAGTAAACTAATTTTACAAAATTAGCAAAAGATTCAATTATATCATCAGAACTCTCACATTCAAATACTTTGAAAAAAATGGGAAAAGTTGAAAATTTACCTTCGATTTGATGCAACGTGTGTTTGCAATGATCCTCCACTCAATATATTTTGTGAACTGGCTTAAAAGATTGAATTATTTTGAGTTTGTGAAGATTAATGAAAAATTATGGAAGTTGAGAAGTGTTACGCCTCATTTTCTCAGCTTCAGTCAAAGCTTACAGGCCCACACTGTTATTTTGATGACAGGACAATTTTTGTTGAACCCATAAACAGCCAAACTTATTGGCTACAGTTGACTCCTAATTGCTAGAGTGGATTGACAAAGCTTCCCAGAGGATCTTTTTGCAAGATCCTATAGCAAGTGGGGTGATGTAATAGCTCACTGAAAAGGCTGCTCCATTCAGCCAATAAGTTTAGAATAGTTTTACATGGCAAGCTTAAGACCGTACAACTATGCCACATTTAATACAGTATGGCCTAAGAATGATTGATTGACACAATGGCAAGAAGATCCAGCCATAAGGATGAAATTGCGTGCATCTTTATCTAATGGTTCATATCAACCATCTTCTACTATAAAAGCTCATAGTTAGATCCAGCCACAAGGATGAAACTACGTGCATCTTTATCTAATGGTTCATATCCACCATTTTCTACTATAAAAATTCATAGTTAGCTCCATTTCAAGGTAATACTAGTTTATATTCTTAAAATACTTTATACTTTTTGTTTCTCTATATTGCATTCTAAGTTGACTTCTTTTCTTGATAAATCTATGCCCTAAGTGTCCCACATCCAATTATATATTTCAGTGTACTGACTTGATCGTCAAAGTGCTTGGCCACCTCTCTTACCACCGAAGTTTGGTCGTATGCCCTAATAGTTTGTCCAAGCGTGCATGACGAAAGCTTGTGTGGGCACTGGCGGAGCTATGATCTGTTGGAGTGTTACCTCTTCTCTTACCACCGAAGTTTGGTCGTATGCCCTAATAGTTTGTCCAAGCGTGCATGACGAAAGCTTGTGTGGGCACTGGCGGAGCTATGATCTGTTGGAGTGTTACCTCTACAAAAAGTGGTGGTCAAATACACAGCTTTAAGGAAATTTGTTTGAGCCAAATCCAATGTACTGCTCGAGCACCTTTGGAGCGCCTATCGAGTGGTCACTTACTGGAACTCACTCTTGAGCACCATGTAAGGAGCACAACAAGTGCCCATTTATCTATTTTAATTTAGGTCCATGTTATGAAATGCACAAATCATA